AGATGTTGGTCCAAAAATACAAAATTTTAGTTAGAATAAATAAATTCAAGACACCATTTGTACAACCTGGTAACTATAGTTTAACAACATACTGTATTCTTGAAAATTGCCAAACTATAGATTTTAAATTTGCTCTTTGTAAAATAACTATGTAAGATAATGCATGTGTACACTAGCTCAACTGAGCCATTTCACAATGGATTCATATTTCAAAACATGTTGTACTTGTTAAACATATATACATTTTATCCATCAATTTAAAAATTAGTTAATTTAAAAAAAATAAATATATATCCTCAGATAATTTTGCATGAAATTTCTGGTTGCTCATATACCTGCTGATGTCTATTCAGGCAACCCTGACCAAATTGTCCTCATATAATAGGTAAGAAACTTGATAAAGAATTTAAACAGATAGTCCAAAGATACCCAGGATATTTATGTAAAAACTATATTAAAACACAGATTTCTCACTCAATTACTCTATTTCTCACTGTCTCTTCTTTTTTTTTTGGCTAGGAATTAACATTATTCATCTGAAAAGAAAAAAAAGTACTACTTGAACAAACTGGTTAAATGTCCAAAATGTAGTATGAAAAAAACAATTTGAAAAGACTTAAAGCAGGTATACAGAAAACTAGTAGAGAGTCTATTGGACACATATTTTTATTTGAAAAGAATGGCTCAGAAAGGTATCAATTGAAAGATCCAATCAGTAAATAAAAGCTTCAAGATAAGTGCTCAAGTTTTTTACTTAAATTGATTGAATTTCATGATGGAATTCTACCACCATACTTTTCAAATTCCTCTTTTCTTACATATTACAGCTGCTAACTCTCCCTGGCTTCAATGTTCCTGGGAAACTAGGTGAATGGGCCCCTTGTTGATTGCAGACTCATGCCTCTTGTCCTTTTCCTGTTATTTTCCTCCTAATTCTACATCACAAAAGCGTACTGAAGCGGGAAATAGTTTGTAAGCCAGGAAAAAATGAAAAGCAGAGCATGTAAAATCAGTACTGCCTTTGGCAAGGATGGATTATAGAAATCACCAAGAGATTTCATCCACTGACAAATTTTTCTAATCTGTAAATGAAAGGAAGAAACAAGCATTCTTTTCAGAATAGGAAAAAAGAAAAAATAGGAAAGATAAATAAGCTCGAAGAGAGGAATTGAAGAAAACTTTACTTTGTCTATCTAGTATTATCCCTATATAGCATCTCTATGACAGCAAATAAACCACCTGTATCAGGAGAATTTTCAAAAAGCTGCAAGGAAATATTACTAAAATACACAACAAAATTATTTTTTAAAGAAATTTACCTGTCCAGTCACCACTTGTGGGGGTCTGTCTTGTAGACCCTAACTCAATGACAGATGAATAAGTTCACTCACACACAGTATTCAGTGTTAAGAGCAGGCTGGGGTATCCATGGCCACTTGCAGACACTCGAGTAGAGTGCTGTAAATAGATAGCAGCTGCCAGCCTCAAGCAGCCCCTACTCTAGGCTTTTATTCAGTATACCAAAGGACAAAGGTCTTTGGATAAACACCATAGTGGGTAATATCCCTGGTTGACCTTCTCCTGAGAGAGCCATCTGGAATGACCAAAGGTTAGTTTATAGGACTATATGAGTAAACAAGTTATTCAGATAAACTCCCCCACATTTCCTAGCTATTTGCTTTTCTTATCAACTAGAGGTAAAGGGGATTTAGGCTACCTTCAGCTGAAACTTCTACTGAAACTATGCAAAAACCTCTTGGCCTTCCAAGAAGGTTTGTGATTATTCCTTAAAGCTATCTCTAATATTTTTCCTTTAATATTTTTGCCACCATCCTGAGTGAATCACCAAATTTACTTATATTATCTTTTTTCTCTGTTTTGAAACAGCTTTATTGAGATATAATTCATATGCTATACAATACATCCATTTAAAGTGGACAATGCAATAATTTCTAGTATATTTAAAGATACATGCAACAATCACCACAGTGAATTTTAGAATATTTTCACCTCCAATATTTTCAAATATCTTACTTGAATTAGCTTTAGATTTACACTAACTTAATTTCAATATGATAGAGAAATGTTATTCTTGTAGCACCATTCTCTTTTCTCTTTTGTAGTACTATTATTATACATATTTCATTCTATAAATGCCTCTAGCTCAACATTTCATGATTATAATTATTACTTAATATAATTTAAGCATTTTGAATAAGCCATTAAAGAATAGGAGAGCAAGTATATATTTATTACTTTTGTTATACTCGCCTTTTTATTTATCATTTCTGGATCTACTAGTTTCTGTAAATTTGAGTTACCATATGGAGTCACTTTCTTAGCCTAATTGAGCTGTTTCCACCCACTTCTTTTGTGCTGATATTGGCAAATACATTACATTTCTATATTCATTGTATACATTTTGTTTCATCCAGTTGCCTTTTAAATTAGTTAAGAGAAGAAATATGTGTTTATACTCTAGTGATCACATAATTACCCTTACAGATACTCTTTGTTTATCTATGTGGATTCAAAAAATAAGGTCAGACTTCTCCTTAAGCTTCTTTCTCTCTGTTGGTGGCAGTCTATGGATTCATATGAGAAGAGAGAATTCACATAACTAGCCTTACTTTTGCCCTCTGTCTTTACAGAGGTATATTTGGCTGTTTTGTGAGATATTCTGGTAAAAAAAAATTAAAAATCAAAGAAAAAAAAATGAGGTCACTTGCTTTTAGTCTAAAAAACTTTCCTAAGTATTTCTTGTAAGGTAGGTCTACAAACAACAAATTAGCTCACTTTTTGTTTATCTTTTAATGTCATTTTTCTACTTTCAATTTGGAAATATAGCTTTGCTATACATAGGATTCTTGGTTGAAAGGTTTATTTTTTTCTTTGAGAACTTTGATTATATTGTCCATCCCTTTTTTATATCCCTTCCCACCCTGTGGCCTCCATTGTGTCTGATGAAAATTTACATTTAAGCTTCTTGAAGTTCCCTTGTAAATAATGAGTCATTTTGCTCTTGGTGCTTTTAAGATTTTTGTCCTTGCCTTTGGCTTTCAGTATTTTAACTATGACTTGTCTGTAAATCTCTTTGCATTTATCCTACTTGAAATTTGTTGAGCTTTCTAGGTGCATAAATTAACGTTTCCAATAAATTTGGCAATATTTTAGCTATTCAAATACTCCTTTTGTTCTTTTCTTTCTGTTTTTCAGATAGCATAATTTTTATCAATCTGTTTTTGATATTGCAAATTCTTTCTTCTGCTTGTTCAAATATACTGTTGAGCCTCTCTAGTGAATTTTTTATTTTGGTTATTAAGTTTTCAAATCCAGAATTTCCATTTGTTTCTTTAAAAAAATAATTTCTATCTCTATGTTCTCTATTTCTTGCAACATTATCATCACACTTTTACTTATTTTATCACAGTTTTCTTTGAAGATATTTATAATGGCTACTTAGAAATCTTTGTCAAACCTGATATCTGGTCATTTACACACGTAGTATAGAGTGTGTGAGGTATTTTTCCAGCATAAGAATCTTATGTTTTTGTTTCTTACATGTCTCATAACTTTTGTTGTAAATCACATTATAGATAGTATAGCAATTCAAGGTACTTGTTCCTCCCCTCCAAGACTTGTAGTTGTTATTGATTTTTACTTGTCTAGTGACTGAGTAAATTATTTGAGTGAAGTATATCACCTACCACACACTTCCTGCTTCAGGAAGATTCTAATGCTGTTTTTGGCCTTGGGGAGTCTATGATCACACTGGAATGACAGTAGTTTTGGCAGATATCTCCTTGACTCTTTCCCTGACCACATCCAGCCATTAAACTCCAATAATTGCTAGATTATTATTCGATTGTTTTCAGCAATGTCCTGAAGTCTGAATTTCTCAGCAGACTGGTCCAATCAAATATGGACTTCTTTGCAGGAATAGTTTCAGAGGTAGTGTTTGAAATTTGGTCAGGCCTAAGAAGGGCTCCTCCATGCTGTTTCTTCTGTGGCTCTGTCTGACAAAATAGCCAGTCAACATTTTAGCTTATATCCCCAAACAATCTACCAGTTTCCTCCCAATTGCCTGTCACTACAATCCCCACTTTTCTGAGCACACTTAGGCTTAAAATTTTTTCAAATTGTGTTGTAAATGAAGTCAGTCCCCTTGGGAAGAGATTCAAATTGATTTTATAGCCTGATTCTCCCACCCTGGGCAAAAATCTATGAGCCATAGTTCTGGACCTGGGCATAAGGATAATGTCCATTTCTCTCCCTGAGTAACAGCTCCACTGCTTTAGAAGCTGAATAGTGAATAGAAGGGCACAGGTAGTAGCTTTGAGTCTTCTCAGTTTTCCTCTCTCAGCCTGGAATCTCTACCTTACAAGCCAAGGAAAAGACAGGCCCCAATATTCTAGTGGAGTTATGCCCAAGGAGTGAGTCACTGTCCTATGTATCAGGGGCTTGAGGTTGTGGGGGTGGAAAGGAAGGAGCTCTCATGTCTCAATTATACTTACACAGAATTTAACTTCAGAACAAGTAGCTGGAAGCAGGATGAAAAATGCTAATGTCCTGCCCTTCCTAGGAGAATAGCACTCTGACTTGGAGCTAGAGGCAACCCTATGTTCTTAGCTGTACAAATCTCGAGTGGATATTGCATATTACTGATATGGAAGGGCAAAGCAGGGTGTGGGTCTTAGTTCAAATACCACAAGCTCTTACTGCTTTTGCCAAGATTTAGTAGATTTTTTTGAATTAATATTTCTTTACTTTCTGTATATTTTTCACTGAGCCCAGGAGGTGGAGGTTGCAGTGAGCAGAGATAGCACCACTATACTCCAGCCTGGGTGACAAAGTAGGACTCTTGGAAAAACAAAACAAAACAACAACAACAAATATATATATATACACACACACACACACACACACACACACACACACACACGCACACAATCTGAATTACTTTGACAAAAGCATCTTTGTGAATTAAACATTATCATATATATTTTATAGATGAGAGAGTTATTTTATAGGTGAGAAAGTTATTATTCTACAGTACAAGTCATTGCTGGGAGATGATTTGAGTAGAGTTCTTAAAAATGCAGACTTAAAAGCCCCTTCTCTTAATGTATTCTACTAATTCATTTAATAGCAAAAAATAGATACAGGAGGAAACTGATTACTTCAGAAAAACATTGAGATAATTTACTCAAGATTTTGAGGTGCAGAGGACTATTATAACACGTATCCTAGAGAGCAGATATTCTGTTTTGTTTTATATTCTTAGTATTGAGGGAATGTCTAGTAATAAGGATTACTTAATAGATTAGTTGTTGAATTAATACAAAATTGAATTTTTGAAGGAAAAATTTAAATGACTCTCTTTTCTCCTTTTCATTTCAGATGGTGATCATTTTGTGATAAGATATGACTATTTCATAGCTGATGAGGGGAAATTCTATGTAGAATTACTGAGGTAATTCTGAAAGACAAGAATACATAGGTAAAGATAAATCAAGTCCAAGAGCAAGTAAGCCAATAAAAGCATTTATAGATTTTATATTGAGTTTTGATACTTCAAGGCAATTGTGAACACACAAATAAGTAGCCAGCTTGTAACTACTCTGTAACTGCTTAAACTCTATTTCTCATTATCTATATTTGCAAGTTTTCACGCAATTTTAATTAAGCTAATAGCTAAGTTAAACTAAATATTATTTTACTTAATGTATAGTAATGTAACGGCTATGTTTTCTATGTAATTATGACATATTATATGAAATATGTAATATATAACATACACATGTATGTATACATGTATGTGATATGCGTGATATACAACATATAATTATGAGATATTATATGTAATATGCAACATAATTTTTATAATAAATCCAACATATTTATATGTAATTATATTTAAATATAATCCATATCATAAAGAAAACATTTTGTGCTAAGGCTGTTGCACACCTTTGAATCTTGATATATCTGTACTTTAAGCAATATTACAAATATTATACTAATCATTTTATATATACTTTAGGAGTTTAATTTATCTTGAATATTTTTTAAAGTAGTTTTTTTTTTTTTCTGAGAAAGCATATACCTTTAAATATCTGACATCTACACATTTGGCAGTTTATGATGAATGGCACTCTATAATCTGATGTCAGTTAATGAAATTACTGGCATACTACCTAGGTCAATATTTGTCCAAATGTGATACTCAGGTCATACACAAAAGAAATTTCTAAGTGCTTTCCTTGCAAGTAGATCTCTAGGCCTCAACCTATAGCCTTTCCATCAGAATCTCTGGCAATGTGGCTCAGGAATTTACAGTTTTTATTATGCATTCCTAGATGACTCTATGCACTCTCATATTTGACAACCATGGATCAAAGAAAACAAATCCTAATAAATTTATTCTAAATAGCCAACCTATTCCCTAAATACCAAATATTATAGAAGGATGTAGGAAAGAACCTTTGAAGTAATTTCATATTTGTTTTGACAATAGACCTATAAAGCATGGTAAAGTAGACCTATAAACTATGATAAGCAAAGAAACTGATTTCTCCTTTTGAGAGTTAGGTTAAATAGGTAATGGCATATTAAAGAACCAGAATTTGGCTGGGCCCAATGGCTCATGCCCATAATCACAGCACTTTGGGAGGCTGAGGCAGGTGGATCACTTGAGGTCAGAAGTTCAAGACCAGCTTGGTCAATATGGTGAAACTCCATCTCTGCCAAAAATACAAAAATTATCCAGGCGTGGTGGCATGTGCCTGTAATCCTAGCTACTCAGAAGGGTGAGGCAGAAGAATCGCTTGAACCCAGGAGGCAGAGGTTGAAATGAGCTGAGATTGTGAACCACTGTACTCCAGCCTGAGCAACAGAGTGAAACTCTGTCTCAAAAAGAAAAAATAAACAAATAAAGAACTAGAATTCATCAAAGGTCACTTAAAGCAAAGCACTATACTTATCCACTTTTATAGATACTAATTATGTTTTCACTCATGCTTTTCAGTATTTCAAAATAAAATTGCTCCTCATTTTCATGCCAAAACATCTTTACAAAAATTGTTACAGATTATTTCCAATACCTTTTGCTCAGCAATTTGGCATCAGCACTATTCAGGCAACAACATTCATATGGTAATAGTTAAATTTGTTTTCACTAGGGCCCTCTCAGCCAAATTTTTCATTTCCAGCCTGCACATGCTGAACTCTAGAAAATGTTGTAATTATCTTATTGAATATGTGTATTTCTAAATCAATTAATATCATATATGTTGCCAGGTTTTTTTTCCTACTTAAACAGTGAGCATTACTCTATAAATTTGTTTCTTTTAATCTTATTTCACAGGTTACAGTTAGACTGGGTTTGAATTTCAGCTCTTTCTTCTCTTAGCTACATGGCATTGGAAGAACGTTAACCTCTTTGAAACTCACTTTCTTCATCTCTAACATGAAAATAACACTTTAGAGTGTTGTCAGGAGTAAAGATGTTGACTCAGATGATGCATGGAGATGGAGCAGAGTACTTGGCACATAGTAACTGATTCTAGTTTTTATTGGTGCCCAACAAATTACCCCCAACCTATGGAAGCAAACACTTTATATTGTTCCACATTTGTTAGGCTAGGGCTTGGCTAGGCCATTCACTGTATGGAGCTGTGATATGGTTGTACTCAAATGTCAACTGGGACTGCAGTCATCTGAAAGCCCAAATGGACTGGTATCAAGATGGCTCACTCAAAAGCTAGCACTTGAAGGGGTAGAAAAGTCTGGGCCTCTTGTACCAATTTAGGCATTGACTCCTGCACCTGAAGAAATAATTATCAAAGATGAGAGGCATAGAAGTGTGAAAAAGAAGGAAATAGATAAAATAATGGAAGTAGGCACAAAGTTTGCAAATAAGCAAATACATGTCTCACATTAATGCCCATTGAAGAGCATCCATCATAGAACAGGCACCAATAACCAACTGGACAAGATGACTGTCTTTCTTACTCATCCACAGTGGTGCTGACACAATGAGTCATGAATGAAATGGCTATTGACTCAAGGATAGAGGATTACCCTGACAATGAGATAGAGGACTAAATGAGGATAGAGGACTAAGTAGCATGGGCTTCTGCTTACCAAAAATGATCTAGTTACTGCTACTGCAGAATGCCTTGACACTAGCAGTAATGTGACACCATCCCTGAGGAGACTATCAACTGTCTAATTTCAGTTGAAATCTGGGTTTTCATTTCATACCTACAGAACATTTTTCCAACAGTATGATTATTTACCTGAATCATTGATAATGGTATCACATATAACATTGCCTCACACTAATAGACACTAACAGCAAAGTAGATGTAAGAATGTGTACATATCCACAGAATCCATTGGACCTATTAGACACCTCATCACCCAAAAGCAGTTAATCTGATGAAACAATAGAATAGCCCATTAAGTGGCTTTGCAAAGGCACCAGCTCAGGGATAGCATCTTGTGAGGTTGGGATGCAGTCCCCTAGCATGTAGTTTGTACTCCGAACCAATGTCCCACTCCCAGTCCTGTATCCCCAGCAGAAAAAGTATAAAGGTTTGGAAACCAAAGGTAGATGTAGGGTCAGTGATTTCCACCATCACCCTCAATGACTCACTTTCAGAATATATGCTTCCTGTCACTGCCATACTAGGTTGTATTCAAAGTCCTATTTCCTAGGATGGAATGTTTCCATCAGTGTACCACTTTAAGGGTTCTACTATGCTTGAAACTATTACTATCATTGGTCATGTTGAGCTCATGATGCTGGAGGATCAGTAGACAAAGAGTTAACTACACTGGGGTTAATAACCTTGATTTCCATGAGGAATTGGAATTGCTGTTACATGTTGAGATCATGCAAGAATATATCTGGAAAGGAGGAGACTCACTGGGATGGCTTTTGGAGCTTCTACACTCAGTGATAACAGAATCAGCAACTTCAACAACCACAGTCCAACAAGGGCAAGGAAACTAGGGCTTCAAACCCTTAGTTCTGGGATCTCTCCACGATGCATACAACTAGATCAGCTACTGGACAAATATAAGGAAAATTCAAAATGGATAATGGAAGACAGAAAATATTGAACATGGCTTTAGGACCAGCTATAGCAGTGAGAACTATACTTCATTCAACTAACCTCGGTTATTAAATCTTTGCAAGTTTGGCCACTATCTTGAAAATGATTCTGTGATGGATTGGAAGGAATAAGAATAACTGAGAGGTGAAGTGCAAGGAAGTAAATATTAGTGAGGTGTTCCTTGACCAATGGACACAGAAGCTAAAGGACAGATATCTTCTCTACTCCTTTTGGATCAATTCTGAAATGCATACCATAAAGCTCTTCACAGCGAACCATAAAACTAGCCATCACTGGTGTGGTGAACTCAATAATGCATTATTGCATTTGCTTTTCCTCTTTCCTATTCAATCTTCTTCTTGCTTTCCAAGATTGCTTCGTAAATAAACCGCCTCAATAGACAGAGAATTTTGTCTTAGAATCTGCTTTTGGAGGATGTCTAAAACAAATGACTGTCAGGCCTGGATTATTTCACTTGATATAAGACAAAGGGTAAATACTTGAGCGCATGTCAAGTATTTACCCTTTCTTCATTCTTCATGATATGTTTGTTGCACATTGCATGCCTGTATCAAAACATCTGTTTATTCTGTAAATATATACACCTACTATGTATCCACAAAATAAAATAATTTAAAATAGAAAAAAATATGTAAACAAGTGACGATTAGGTAATCTAAGGTTACCATAAGCCAAAATGAAAGAATTTCTGGAACATGGAAATATTAATCGTGTTGATGCAGTATACTTCTACATAGAGATATGGGAAACTTTCCTTGTTTATTACATCAAGAGTTGGCTCAATTAAGTTATGTTTGAAACTTTTAGAAAAGTAATTTATGAGGGCATTTACTTCTCATTACCTCTAATTCTAAGCCTGGAAATGATCACAATATCTAGATCTAAAGAATTCAACACATGATGTATCCAAGTCTGGAAAGATTTCAACCTGACGCTCCCATTTATGTCATTGGGATGCATGCATGAAGAGCCAAATACAATGCTTGGCTGCCCTTTACACAAAGGGAAGGCTCCCTGCTATGGCAAATAGACACTGACACATTCATTTCTGATTTCAAAACACTTTCCAATCATCTCTGAGCATTTCTCAAAAAGCTTGAGAATCTGGTGGCCTAAAACATAGCAAACAAGATGAATTTGGAGTTCACAAACATTGTTTTTAACTTCCTCTGCTCGGTACATTTTTTTGAGCCTTTCACATTGGCATACACATTTCCAGGTTTTTTTGAACAAACAAATTTTAAAACCTCAAAACTATGTTGACATACTACTTTTAAAGATTAGGTGAAGTATGTGATTGCAAATATAATTATTGACAAACTTTCATTATTGAGAT